GAATTTGTTTGAGGACTGGGTGTGGTAGCCCACGCCTTTAACCCTTGCATTCAAGAGGCTGAGGCAGGCAGATCTCGGAGTTTGAGGCCAGTCTGGTCTACATACCAAATTCTAAACAAGTCAGGGTTACATAGTGAGACCCAGTCAGTCTCAAAAAAAATTTGCGATGTTTTGCCATAAAGAAAAAAACTTTTAAATTGACTGTCACCTACAAGGATGTATAGGATTAAAATATTTTGTTGTTTTGTTGTACAATAATTGAAAATATATCCACCAATAGTTCTTTATTGGGAGGAGAAAGTTTATGATGTAGGAGATAGAAGAGAAACAGCACAGCAATGCCCTTAGGAGAAACCTGTTCTATAAAGAGGAGGAGGTAGACTGGGATGTGATCTCTAAAATTGATACAGAATAGGAGGGAGGCTGACACCAGAAACCCAGCAGGCTCCCTTTTGATGGCTTATAGGAATCAGGGTCAGCATACCAGAGGGATGCAGATTTTATGTAACTTTGTTTGTTTCTATGATATTTTTCATTACAAGATCTGTTAGGTGCCCTTGGGAGGCCTTAGGAGAGCTGTAAAATTGTGTATTAAATGTTTCAGAAAATGGGGGCTGGTGAGATGGCTCAGCAGTAAAGAACATTTGCTGCTCTTATAGAGGACCTAGATTTGGTTTCCAGTACTCACATGGCAGCCAATATCCATCTGTAACTCCAGTTCCAAGGGCTGTAGGGCCCTCTTCTGGCCTTCAGGGACATTGCACACATGTGGTGCACTTAAATACATTTGTCTAAACCTAGATGCTCCTAAAAGTGCTTTTTTCCACTGATCTACAAACTAAAGAGGATACTTGATTCTAAGCCCTTTAGAATTCACCCAGTAGAGCTCCAGCATTAAATCAGATACAATTAAGTAAAAAATGCAAAAAGAATACCTAGCCAAATTTGGAGTCCAGACAGCTGTGATTCTAATTCATATTACTTAGTTTTGAAATTCAGATTTTTTGCATATGTACATATGTGCATTTAAAAATACTCAACCCTTTGACATTGTACCAAACTTATTCTAAATTAGAGGCAAGCTAAGTATAAATCATGCTTTGCTTGTAAGGGTCAGACTGGCAATACTGTCTAAATTTTGGCTTGTTTAAAAATTTAACACCCTAAAATTATGTTGCATAGCAGAATAAACTAAATTAGTTTCATAAACATTTCTTTTGGCTGAACTTATACTGAAATGAAATATTAAAAGCTTGACCAATTCTATAGTATTTTATATTTGTACATCAAGATATCTGCAGAGCACATTAGTATTCAAAATAATGGGTTGAGAAGAGCCCGGGCCCCCTGGCTTGCTGTTTTCAGTTTCTGGCTTCCTGCTGTTTCTGCTTCTACATCTTTATCTCAATATTTGCCAGTCTTGGCCACACAGAACTGGCAAAACAAGATAATCAGCATCCAAAACACACATAAGAAAAGAGAAAACAACTCAGGGAGAAAATGTGCAAAAGGTATGAATAGGCATTTCACCAAAGGGGAGGCAAGAATTAACCAGTAATGGGGAAATGCTTGGTGGCACCACAGTCAGCAGGAAAATGAAATTAAGATTTTGATTGTATACCACTTTATATCATAGAGGAAGAAGTTGGCATTAATTACTACATTTTGTAGAGGGTATGGTTGGATATGAGCCAGTGTTGCTTGTCAGATCATAAATTGCTGAACGTACTTTAGGAGGAATAAATTTGGTGTTATGGAAAATTGAATGAATATACACATTCTCCCTAATTCTTGGGTATATACTTCAAAGAAACTTTAACATATGGAACAGAAAAGAGACAAGTACTAGACCTTTCCTAGCATATATATTTATAGTAGCAAAACAAAACAGAAATCAGATGCTTTTGACAAAAGAATGAATAACCAAATTGGGTCTCTGTTTCCCCCACATAGTATCCTACCGTGAAGGTGAACGAACTGTGCTCACCTGTAGCAGTGTGGATGAGCCTTGGGAAAGCAATACTGAGTGGAAACATTAAGTCTTACAAGACAGGACCTGTTTGATATTGTCATTTTTATGCGTTGTCAAACTGGGACACCATCAGGTTGAAAGATAAATAAATTTGTTAGGTAAATGAAATTTCCCAGAAAAACTGCACCCGGAAACTGAACCTTCTGTGAAGGCTGATCAGCCGATTGGAATTTAGTGATTATGGAAAGGTGGAAATGTTGCAGGTCCAGAGCCACTTTATCTCAGGCCATCATCAGGCACTCCTTGTCCACCTCTGCATCTGTTTTAACACCCTGATTATAAAACCTTTTGGAATGTACTAACAAAGCCCTAGCTCCTACCACCCAAAAGGCCCAGTGTCATCTGATAGCATGTGAGGCCTATAGCTCAGATTTCTCTTTTTCTGTAACAGTCTACTTAATGTTCCACCAATGTATTTGAGAAGTGCCTTGATTTATAACTTTTCTTTGTTTTATTTGTTAAAACTTCATGAAACTGCTTCCACATTGCAAGATGGCATTTGGGGTAACCTGAATCTGTGTTCCCAGGCCACGGTCCTTTGGATTTGGCTCTAAAATATAAACTGTCTCTTATCATCTTTGAGGTTAGAGTTGTGATTTTGCATCAACAGTGATATATGTAATGTAATGATAAATGTAAAATAGAGGGTTGTAGTTACAGAAGGCAGAGGGGTTGTGAGTTGTGAGCATTGGATAGACAGGACAAATCATTAGAACAGTATGAATAACTTGCATTTACTTCTTGAGCTGGGTAACAGGTACCTGGATATTCTGTTCTGTTTTTTTTTTGTTTCAGGCAGGGTCTCATTGTAGCCCAGGCTGGCCTCCAACTTGCTATGATGTAGCTGAGAATGACCTTAGATTTCTTGTTCTTGCTTCCACTTCCCAGATGCTAGGTTCTTCAACCTGGTGATGCTTATGTTATTAATTTGCTTTGACTTTAATTAAACATATTACAAATAATCGCTGTAGGTAGCAGTTAATATATTTAAAATACAGTTAAGGCTGGGATATAATTCTCTTGGTAGAGTACTTGCCTAGCATGCATAAATCCCTGGGTTTGATCACCAGCATCCTATAAATAAGGTGTTATGGGGGTTCATTCCTATAATCTTAGCACTTGGGAGGTAGAGGAAAGGAGAATAGGAAGTTTAAGGTCTTCCTCTGCTACATAGCAAATTCAAGGCCAGCCTTGGATACATGAGACCTTATTAAACCATATTCTGAAGTCACAATTTAAGACACATGTTATCAGTTATCACTACTTTTCTACTGCCATTTGAATTCCCAATAGTACTGTATTAGAACTATACTGGTTTAAAGCCTTCTATCTCATTAAGTATATATATGCTTTCTGATAAGTCACACAGCAAAGGCTTGTTGAAGAAATGGTGTAGGATTAAAAAAACCTAACATTTTTTTATTTT